TTTTTTTGTGTGTCTGATTATTATAGGTTTTGGTTACAGTGAAGTTCATATTTTTTTAATGTTTGTTTATTTTTGAGAGAAAGAGAGACAGAGTGTTAGCAGGTGAGGGGCAGAGGGAGAGAGAGAGGGAGACAGTCTGAAGTGGCCTCCAGGCTCTGAGCTATCATCACAGAGCCTGATGCAGGGCTCGAATCCATGAGCTGCGAGATCATGACCTGAGCTGAAGCTTCCGATGCTTAACCGACTGAGCCACCCAGGTGCCCCAACAATGAAGTTCATATTTAATTGATGGCCTTTTATGTTCTAATACATTCCAAAAGCACTAACATTTTACTCTCTTCTCCATGTTTTATGTATATAATGCTATATTTTACATTTTTAAAAATTTCATGCATCTTTTGACTGATATTTGTAGATAGAATTTATTTTACTACTTTTGTGTTCTAATTTTCTTCCAGTTATGGTCCTTTCTTGTCCACTTAAAAAAGTCTCTCTTTTTTTTTTTCCTTCTTTTTGTTTTTCAGCTGATTGCTTTCTGTTAACCCTGTCTTCCAGATTATTGATATATTCTTTTGCATCCTCAAATCTACCGCTGTTTCCCTTAGTTCATTTTTCATTTATTGTATTCTTCAGTACTGTATTTTTTTTTATATTTCCTATTTCTTTTTTTGAGGTTCTCATTGAGTTTATCCACTCTTTCTTAAGTCTGTTGATTACCTTTATGACCATCATTTAAACTCTTACCAGGTAGATTGCTTGTCTCTGTTTTATTTAGCTCCTTTTCTGTGGTTTTTCTGTTCCTTCATTTGGAACATATTGCTTTGTCTTCTCATTTTGTCTGAATCTGTGTTTGCCTCTATGCATTAGGTAGGTCAACTATGTTTCCTGGTGTTGAAAGTAGTGCCATTATATAGAAAGCATCTTGTGATGCCCTGTAGCACATCCTGATCCTTGTCACCAGGATAAGCTGTTCCATTGATGTACCCTGTGTTGGCTGCATGTGCTCTCCTGTTGTGACTGAATAGCAACTTCCGGTGGCATGCTTATGGGTAGGGCCTATCCCCTTCATGGCTGACTTAGAAACCCTGCTGCAAATGTTTTATGCAGGCTGGTGGGCAGGGGCTGGTGCTCAGCTAGACTGGCTGCAATGGTAGGCTGCAACTACTGTGTGCCTGCTAGTTGATAGGAACTTCCCCCTGCAGAGCCGTGAGAGGCCCAGTTATAGCTACTCTGAGTGTGTTGGTGTGAAGGGTTTACACACAGCACTGTTGACAGGCCTGGCTGCAGCCACTACAGACTTGCTGTCAGGAGAGGCCAGCTCCCAGCCTCACAGTATGCAATATTTGGTTGCTATTGTCATGGGTGCACTAGAGGTTAGGGCCTGCCCCTCCTGACTTGGTTAGCTGAGAGTCCCAGGTGCAGCTAGTGCCAGAGTCCTGCTGGGTAGGATCAATACCCCTCCTTTATGGAGTAGGAGCAGCTTTAGTGCATCAGTCCCAAGTGAGACTGCCTTTGGGGTGTGGTTGGACACTTTGAAGAGATGCTGGTCTATACTGAGTCTGCCTGCTGGGTGTAGTGGGGCAGCAGTCACTTTGGAAGGGTATCTGCTGGGGCTGGGTGGGCTGGGTGGGGTGGCTCTACATGGGAATGATGGGGAGGGCAAGCAGTCCTGGCAAGATAAATGGAGGGTGTCAGAACAAGCCACAAACATCTGGCTATCTAGGCTGATGGAGGATAAGAAAAATGATGCCCACTAGCACTTCTATTTCCAGAGAAAGTTCCTCTAGATCCCTGCCCCTCTGGCATATGTCCTAAAATAATTAGTCAATAAATCTTCGTGTATAAACTGAGTGTTTTTCAAACCTTTTCTGTGCTGGGTCTCAGGCCAAGTGATAAAGTGTAATGGCACTTGAAGGGCAGAGACCTGGTTTTCTACAACTCTGGCTCTCCCGCAGTTAAATCCCACTGATTTTTTTTTCAATTAAAAAAAATAATGTTTATTTGTTTTTGAGAGAGAATAAGTATGAGCGGGGGAGCAGCAGAGAGAGAGGAAGGGAGACACAGAATCTGAAGCAGCTCCAGGCTCTGAGCTGTCAGCACAGAGCCTGACACAGGGCTCAAACTCACAGACTGTGAGATCATGACCTGAGCCAACGTCAGATACCTCACCAACCAAGCCACCCAGGTGTCCCAACTCCCACTATTTTTACAGTCAGATGTTAAGGGTACTCCTCTTCCCTGTGCAGGTTCCCAGGGCTAGAGATGACTAGCCAGGGGCTTGAGCTCCTAGCTCTCCCATGCTAATGATAACCCTCTCACTTGTGGGTTGCTATATGCTGTGGGCTTGGTTCCTGGTCACACCTGGCCTTTTTTCGTATGCATATGTTTTTATGATGTTAGCTATAACACTAGCTACAACATGAACACTTGATGATGAAGATCTGTTCTGCCCATCTTTAAGTGTTTTTTAGAGTAAGGTACAATACATGTAGTTATTAATTTGGTGTGTCCATGGGAGGAAGTAAGCTCAGGATCCTTCTACTGTGTCTCCTTCCTGAGAACTTTGTTTCTTGATGTAAGCCTTATCGTTATGATATATGCATTATCATTATCACTGTTGATTATACAAAGCATGTTGTTTATTTAATCTTTACATATATGGGGATTTTCCAGTTTTCTTGTTGTAGTTGATTTTTAGTTTCATACTATTGTGGTCAGAAAAGATGCTTGAAATGATTTTGATCCTCTTGAAGTATACTTATTTTGTGTGAGAATGTTCCATGTGTGCTTTGAGAAGAATGTGTATTTTGTTGCTTTGGGATAAAATGTCCTGTCTTTGTCAGGTCCATCTGGTCTAATATGTTATTTAAGGCTAATATTTCCCTTACTGATTTTGATCAATCCATTGGTGAAAGTGGGGAACTAAAGTCTCTTATTATTATATTGCTATTTTCCCTTTATGTCTATTAATATTTACTTTCTATATTTTAGGTGCTTCTATGTTGGGGCATAAATATTTAGCAATTTTATATACTTTCTGGGTTGACCCTTTTATCATTATGTAATGATGTTCTTTGTCTCTGATTACAGCCTTTGTTTTAAAGTCTATTTTGTCTGATGTAAGAATAGCTATCCCAGCTTTTGGTTTCTACTTGCATGAATCTCTTTCTCCATCCCCTCATTTTCAGTCTGTGTCCTTAGATCTGAAGTGAGTCTCTTATAGGCAGCATATAGATGGGTCAGTGACTTATTTTGAACATTTGTCAGGTAAAAATCACTTATCTATGTTTCATTAAGGTCTTTTTCTGAAGTTTTATCTTGTTCTTTCATTAGGAACATACTTCTCTGTTTCTTCATTTCCCCTGACTCTGTGTTGGTTTCTATCCATTTGATAAAACAGCATCTCTACCAGTCTTAAAAGAGTGGCTTTGCATAGAGGAATGTTTTCCATTAATCCTGCTGGTCCATCAAAACTTTGTGATTGTCCAATCATTCTATATACTTCTTAGGGGCTCTCATTAGGTGAGGGTCTACCAAGACCTGTTAGTGTCCCAAAAGGGGAGGATCTCAGACCACATTTAGATTCAAACTGATTGGAAGCTGGAACCTCAGGCAGTAGCTTTTAAGGTATACAAATATACCTCTTCTAGGAAATGACTAGGAGATGGGCATTTCATTCTGCTCCTTATTCACTGAGCCCTAGGGTAATGGACAGTTAAGTCCTGCTTGTTGTTTGATACCTTTTCCTAGAACCTGTGAACCTAAGGCTCAGAGGTGGTCTGAGTGACAGGGTGAGGTGATCAGGAGGCCTCCCCTGGGTTACAGCTACAACCACCAAAGGCCCTAGATGTATATACAGTCTCCTTTCTAGGAGATACTGGTTACCTTAAACAAGGCAATGGGAGAGCATAAAGATGGTGTCCACCAGCTTCCATGGTCTTTGTATTTTTGTATCTGGATGTTAGATACGTGATCCTCAAGTCAAAGCTTTTAATATAAGCAAATAGCCTCTTTCATTGAAAGACTACTGCCTGTATGCTGTGCCTTGGAGGTTAGCCAGGGTGGGTCTGTGTGAATCCTTCAAGAACTAGTTCTCAGGGTTTTGTTTTGTTTTTGTTTTGTTTTTTTTTTTTTAGTTTTTGTTTTACCACAATATAAACCACAATTCGGGTTTATAGCGAGATTGTGTCTCAGCCTCTTCTGTTTCAATGTTTATATATTCTCATTTGCCTGATGTGTAAGAGTTTCTTAGTTATTTTCTGGGTTTATTTAAGAGGAAATTGTTCCATAGCAAGGTGTCGATTTGGTGTGTCTGCAGGATATTTTGGACCAGAATCCCATTTGACATTTATTTTAATGTCTAACCTGAGATGAAAATGATTTTGTTATCTTAATTTTGTGAGTCAAACAAGATAATTTGTAAATCCTTATGCTTTACCCACGGGTGAAGGGCACAGCCAAGATTTCATTTCTGAAGCAGGGTCTCTTGAACTGCTATGAAGACTGCTGATGATTTTATTTAAGAGAACTTATTAGAGGTGAACTCTACGGGTTGTTTCCTCAGTCACACTATTGAGAAGCCATCCTATTTTCATTTACTTTTTTTTCTTTTAAAACCGTAGTGCCATTGTACAAAACCAGTTTTCAGTGTTGAATGGTTAACAGAAATCAGTAGTATAAATGAAAACATCCTCTTTCTTCTGCATTCTATCACATTTCTAACATTCCCATTTTCTTAGGTCATTTTACGCATCAATGTTTGCCTTATTTTAGTGGTTTGTTCTAATATTAACTGAGCCTTAAATATTCCTTCAAAGCTACTCTGTGCCATTATAGTTGGCTCTATTTCATCGTGCTGAGAATGTGGAATAAGAATCCTTTCTTCTGTCAGTGATTTCAGCTGTCAACCCCTACAACAGTGACACAGGGAAGCTGTCAGTAAAACTTTTTGTCAAAGCAAGGGCATTTCATAAGTGAATAAATCTAGAATAGGCAACCTCTCAGTCTCTTGAGCACTTTATTTGTTATAAATACAAGTCAATACCACAAGATGGCACCTTCTTACTCTCAACATCTACAATTACAAACAATTATCTTCATAAAATGGTTTCAGTTTTTGAATGTGTTTAGATATTATTGAAACCTTATAAAAGCAAGACTTGCTACAAACAGGATTGGTGTTCGATGTATATTAAATGAGGTCAGATAATTAAATTCAAAAAAAGAATTTATAAATATTCAGATAAGAAAATTGAAATTACAAAAGCAGAGTTTGTCATCATTAAACTGAATTACAACTGTGTATGGCATATTACTATATCTACATGGCTAAGTTTCTGTTAAAATACAGTTCGAGTAATCAAATAATCTACCTCATTCTCCAGTATAACCACCCTAACACTCAATACAGATCTCATTCAGAAACCAACTAGCTTTCATCTAAACCAGCAACTACAACCAGTCCATTTTATCCCTCAGCAATCACAACCTATGAAGTGCCATCATCCCCTGGCTACAAAACAAAATACAATATTTAAAGGTAAAAACTCAGAGAATTTCTGAAATGGTAAACCATTCTCTCTGTGTTCATGAAAATAGGCAATCCAATCTGAAAGTCTTTGAACCAATGTAAACTCTAGAAAACTCAGTGTTGAAGTATGGGAAGAGTAAAGACTTGCACTAATATAGTGCGTAACAAAGCAGTGTCAGGCTCGTCATTTACAGTAAATGTCTTGATTGGACTTTCCTCCAGATTGTCATCATGCTGCTGAAGATAAAGTTTATGGGAGTCTGTGGGAATTCCATCATGGTTTCTTCTTCCCATTTCCAAACAGGAAGAGAAGGGTTTTCAGGACCCTTGGGAGAATCAAAAAATTAAACACACACCCACAAACAACTTGAAAGCAAAATGGCAGACCTAATAATCCTTGACTTCATGTCCAAATGAAGTTGAGGCAATATTACTTTCGCAATATTTGCATTCTGCCCACTGTATCACATCATGAGATTCCTCAAAAAACTGAGAAGTCTGAGAGCTACAAAAGAGAAAGCGGTTAAGGCAGTTGATGTCTACATTTGGATTTCTCGTTCAGGTTACATGTCTAAGTCTCCGTCGTAGGCTAAGGTCAGAGGCTTCTGTTGGGGAGGTGTGCTTTGATGTGGTTTTGGCTTCTTGCTGCAAAGGGAAAAGAATTCCTCAGATAAGGGAGGTTCACAAAGTTTTGTTTCATCTGCCAAAAACTATTGTGAGGTATAGAAATTCAAGCAGTTAAATGACAAAAGATTGAGTGCTCTGAACCTGTGACTTTGTTTTTTGAATACTTGAATACTTTACCTCTATTTTAAGGAGCAGTTCTCATTTTTTTCTGAATCTTAAAAATGGTTTCATGGAAACAGTGAACTTGGTTGAAGGCTACTTTTCTTGTTCTTGTTTATACTCAGTAATGCCAACATCTGCTATTCACTAATTCCTAAGCTCCTGTGACCCACACGCACATCAGAGCATATGAGCAGCTGGAGCAGCCAGGCTTCTGTGCCTTACCCTGGTCTTGTTTTTAAGTAAACATGCTTCTGCTCTGGCCTGAAGCCTGACATTTAGATGCCACATAACCAGAGTCTGTCAGGACACTTTCTCTGATTCTGCACTCTGCAGAGCCACTCGCACCTGGTCTCTGTTTTACCTGAGGTGACAACTTTACCAGGTCAGGGAGGGCTGCTCTTCGTTCTTGGAGAAGCTGAGGTTGAGTAACCTTGGGAAATCACACAGTGATGGCCCAGATCTGGGGCAAAACAACTTCCATTACACTCTGGGTGAAGCTCAACTTAGGTTGATGAATGTTTATAGACTGAATTCTGCCACGTGGTGCCCCGCCTCTACCATACGGTCTGTTGGTCTGTCTTCCTTTGTCAGTACCTCTGCTCTGCCATGCCTTCAGTGCCCAGCCTTTTGGGATTGTCCTTACCAGCAGGGAGGCAGCTCTTTCCTTGTCTCCAAGTTTATTTTAGTAGCATCTATTATTTTAATCTATTTTTAAATGTTTATTTTTGAGAGAGAGACAGGGCACAAGCAGGGGAGGGACAGAGTGGGGAGATGGGAATAGAATCCGAAGCAGGCCCCAGCCTCTGAGCTGTCAGCACAGAGCCTGATGCAGAGCTCGAATTGACAAGCTACAAGATCATGACTAGAGACAGTCGGATGCTTAACTGACTGAGTCACCCAGATGCCCCAAATCCTATCTGTTATTGATTGGAAATATACTAACTGCCAAGCCCTGTGCTGAACATTTTATACCTAATTCCAGAACAACCCTAAGATAGGGGAAGCATTAAAAATGCCTTTTTTTTTTTTTTTTTTTTAACAGAGAAGGACTAGAGAGGTTACTTACCTTCCCTCAAGTCACTGGGTGGCTGAGCCTGAAATCTAAGCACATCTAACACAGAGGCCCAGGCCATTAAACTTTTCAGTGTACTTCCTCTGTATCCATGTAATTAACTTGGCACTGGGTAGAAACATTTCTGCGTGTACATGGGAATTTTTATACTTTGAACTTAAATTAGAAATACATTTTCATGTGTACAATTCAGTTGCACAGTTTGTGTAACCATCATCGTGTCTAGTTCCAGAAGATTTTCATCACCCAAAGAGAAAAACTCTGTACTCACAAAAGTAGTCTTCCTATTTCTCCCACCCTTAAGCCCCTGGCAACCACATAAACTTCTACATCTTAGATTTGTCTATTTTGGATATTTCATACACATGGAATCATACTGTATGTGGCCTTTTGTGTCTGACTTAAAATGGAGAATTTTGTATTATATGAATTTTATCACACACACACACACACCTGATAGAATTAAAATGGTTCTAGGAAGGGGCGCCTGGGCGGCTTAGTCGGTTAGGTGTCCGACTTTCGCTTGGGTCATGATCTCGCGGTTCGTGGGTTCGAGCCCCGCGTCGGGCTCTGCGCTGACTGCCAGCTCAGAGCCTGGAGCCTGTTTCAGTCTGTGACTCCCTCTCTGTCTCACCCTCCCCTGCTCACGCTGTCTCTCTCTCTCTCTCCTAGAAATAAATAAAAAACATTAAAAAAAAATAAAATGGTTCTAGGAAGAATCACCTAGTTCAAATGTGCAAGTTCTAAAATTATTGTTGCTGGTTTGGTAATGAAGCAAAAACAAATTAAAAATGATTTTAAAAATCACTACAGGGGGATGCCTTGGTGGCTCTGTTAAATGTGGGACTTTGGCTGAGGTCATGATCTTAGGCTTGTGAGTTCGAGCCCCGCATTGGGCTCTGTTTTGACAGCTCGGAGCCTGTGTCCTGCTTTGGATTCTGTGGCTCCCTCTCTCTCTGCCCCTTCCCCACTCACACTCTCTCAAAAATAAATTAAATAAAAATCATTAGAGGAAAAACTGTAGATCCCATCTGTGTTCCTGCCCGGCACCTGGGGTGCAGTGGGTGCTCAATGGGTTATAAGCTGAGTGCTGCGCATGAGCTGCAGGGATATACCTTCCAACTAGGGAAACTGAGGAGAGGCAGAAACCTGCTCTAGCATCCTCTGTCAGGAGATCTTAGCCTGCAATATCCTGCTTCTCAAAAGGGTATTCATTTTATAATTATTGGAATATTCAACGTAACTTTACATTAATATAGAAGCCTATTCCAGTGGCTCTGGTTCTATTGTTTGGCCCAGACTCTTGCATAGAGAATGGACCCAGCTTGAAGGGAGGTCCAGAGCCTGCTAATCCGCAGCATTTAAAAGTCATAAGAAATCCCACAAACAACAGTTTAGGACAATGTGGAAGTGACGGCTTGTGCATCCACTGTGGTGGAGGTTCTGGTAGATAGGGGAGGCTGTCCTAATACAGGAGAGTTCATCCGAAATGACAGTGGGGTCTTCCTCATCCACTATCTCTTGCCTTTTGAGAGGCAGGGGAAGAAAGAGGGAAGAAGATGGGTAGGCGCTTCCAAAGAGTTTTTGATTATCCATTCTTAATTAGCATCTGTGAAGGGCTGTGGGCAAACAGAAATGCAAAAGCTGAGTCCTGGGGAGTGAGGAGGGAGAGAGAAGGCTTTATATGGATATTCTCCTGACCAAAACCTGGTCAGCCTGTTTGTTGGGCCTATAAAATTCTGCTCAGAATGGGAGTTATTTTTAGGAGTTTGCACATATGGATTATGAACATGGCATCAACCACTGGGAAAAAAAGAGGAGTCTCCTAATAGGCTTTAAATCCTTTGTGGGCCATGGGGTGTGCTGGGGACCTTCTGGAAGAAGGTGACATTTTATTATCTCCAAATTCTGTAACCTCTCAATTGATCCTAATATCGTAACCATGAATATGTGAGACCTGAGGAATTTTACAGTTTAAACGTTGTTAAATGTTGGTAAACTGAGTAAGGCAATATTGTTCTGGGTAGCTGTGGCTTTCAAAAGCTTCCTGGCTCATTAAAAAGACCCCTGAGGGGAGGGGCTATATGGAAGGGCTGTCCTCAGCAAAGCCACCAACTAGGGAACTTGTGTTTACCGGCCCTGCTCCTTTTCCTTTTTCCCTTAATTCTTTTTCTAAAAATATTTTTTTTTTTTCTCCTCCACTCTGGTATCAGGAAAGGTGTGACCACTTCACTCATACTCAATCAGGACCTGCAGATGCTTGGCAAATAGGCCGCCGCCACTCATCCCGTACCCAGGATGGATCTCTAATCCATCACACTGCTCTTCCCTGTCCGACTGAGGTGTTGCCTTGTAACTCTTCCTAATGGAGCACTATTGACAGCCACTGTCACTTTCAGGTTTGGCACAGAAATAAAACTATTACGCAACACTGGTTGTAAGAGACCTTTGAATGGCACACATTTATTTTTTCCTTTTTATTAAAAAAATTTTGTTGTAGTATTTCTTTTTGAGAGAGAGAAAAGAGCAAGCAGGGGAGGGGCAGAGAGAGAGGGAGACACAGAATCCAAGGAAGGCTCCAAGCACAGAGCCAGACACAGGGTTTAAACTTGGGAACTGAGAGATAATGACCTGAGCCAAAGTCAGACACTTAAACCGACTGCCCTAAATGACACACATTTAAAGTGACCTCTTCCACTATCATTTGTCTTTTAGCAAAGGATAAACCCAATAAACCAGGAAAGCAAACTGATTATGGACTGACAGGCAATTGCTGGTACTTAACAGCACCAATTAAGTTCTGCCCCAAGGACCCAGCCCCAGGGCAGTAGAGCTTAAATACCTTGATGAAAGCCTGAAAAGGTCTTTGGTTTAGGCAGACATTCCTAAGGGCAGGGCCTCTGGAAGTGGGAGCCCTACTCTCACACTTGGGAGAATGGAGGCCCATTTACTAAGTGGCACAGGGCAGGGACGAATGGATATGCTGTAGTTACCTGGAGCCATTTTCTGGTACTATGTCTACATGAACTACAAGCTCACTCAGCTCGTCTTGACTAAATTGCCTCATGGATCTTTACTGCAAGGGTTGTGGGGGCATCAGTAATATTTCAAAAACTTCGAACACTAATGGTAGAGGTACAAAGGGTTGTATCTGAACGAAGTGGTCCTTAAGAAGACTGTTTTTCTATATTTTCTCAAAAGCACTTCTAAGTTTTATTATAAATTGCTTTCATCTAAAGGATACACCTAAGGCCTGGCATATTAGAGCAGTTCTCTTGTCCTAAGCCTTTTACTTTGGGGAGAAAATATAAAATCACCAAAACTGTCATCCTCTAACTCCTGTGCAAGCTATTTAATAGAAGTAAATGCCATGAAAGTATCTATTTGGACTCTGTAGGCAGCTCATATGTAACAGTAAGTGGTATATGTTTTGGTATCAAGAGGTCTGTTCCCAGGTCTATAGCTTACTTGGGAATCAAAGAGCATCAAAAAATATGAAAGCTGGAGACACTACATTGAATCTAAAGTTTTTAGGATTACTTAAGAGAAAGAAATTGCAGACTGGAAGACCAGTGGAAAGAGTGTAAGCTCTGGGCCTAGGCAAACATAGAAGAGATTTTCCCAGGCTGATGACCTCAGATAAACTTGCTCTCTCTTTAAAATGGGTATGATGGGGGTACCTGGGTGTCTCAGTTGGTTAAGTGTCTGACTTCAGCTCAGGTCATGAACTCATGGTTCATGGTTCGTGGGTTTGAGCCCCACATTGGGCTCTGTGCTGACAGCTCAGAGCCTGAAGCCTTCTTCGGATTCTGTGTCTCCCTCTCTCTCTCAAAAGTAAATAAACATTAAAAATATTTAAATGGGTATAATCGCAACAACACATTATTGTAAGGACTGAAAAGGCAATCTATGTAAAACACTTAGGTTTGGGTGTGTGTATGTGTGTTTTTACTTATCCACTCATTTAATCATCAACCTATTCTACTTTGGGTGATAGAGGAGGAAGAGACTTCTAGAAATAACTACAATCACAGAGTAAATGGCAGAGAAGAGGAAGCGTGGACACAGTATTCCAGACTATCTATTGGCACTTGACTTTTACAGGTACGAAATGATAGACTGTCAATACTAATGGTGACAGTTCATTCTCGATGAATGGAACTTATGGAGAGAAACCTTGGAAGCAGAAGATTCCTGGCAAAACTAGAAGGTACCACCATAAGCATCCTAAAGTAAGGTTACTTCTCTCAAAAGATCATCCTTCAGAAAGAAGTTGTAGGCTTATATTCAATCCTTATATAAGTTTTTCGTTTAATGAAGAGCTTACCTTTATAATACAAAAAATACCTAATAGACATCAAAAGTGAACATGCACAGTGAAAAAGGGTACGTAGGGTTTTGGGATAAAACTTCTGAAACAGCAACACAGAGTATGAATGTGGTATCTCAAACAACTTGGATAGAAATGAAAATGGTAAACTTGAGAAACTGACTGTGGGAAGGGAGATAAAAGTAATGACAAAGTGAACTGAAAGGTGGATAGAAACTTTGCTATGAGATACGGAAGTGGAGAAAATGAGTATATTATAGTGAACTAATATATAATATAGGATTATGGGTACGGATGTAGAATTAAGCACACTGGTTAAATATTACAGTAGATAACTTACCATTTTATCAAAATAGTTTATTAAGGAGGTAATTTTTTAAAAAATTTTCTTTAATGAGAAAAATACACACGTGGAACTGTCCAAGGCATAGGGAAATAGAAGATGAACTTGGAAGGATTCTTCAGGCTTAAATTATGGAAGACTTTAGTTGGCTAGCGAGGCAGCCATAACATGACTTTCATTTTGCTGTCAATGGAAAGTCACTGCTGGTCTCTGAGGAGGAAAGAGGCTGATCATGTGGCTAAATTTTAGAAAGACTAATCTGGCTAAAGACAGCAGAAAGGAGTATTTGTATTAAGTCCAAGTATGTAGCTACTGGTGCCGTACCCAGTTAAGGCCAAGCATTGAAAATGCTTAAAGATGTGCAAAATACTGTACATTAATAAATATTTATTTAATTTGGTCACTAAAAAATAAGGGGGGGGTTTACATTGATCTTTAAAAAATTGTCTAGAAAGTTATTTCCGGAATTCAGTGATGTAATCCCCAGAGCTTAGGGTCATTCAGAAAGGGCCTCAATAAATACTTGTTATTGAAGGAATGGAGAAATGCAAAAAGGCAAATTCAATGACTTAACGGTTTTGAATATCTTAGATAACATAGGATGTAGCAGTTAACAACTAGAACACATCCCAGCTTTTATAGAACAGATTTTCTGATTCCCTTACACTGTATTGGGCCATTACTTTCAGAGGAGTTTCTCATCTGTCAAACCTTCATGTCCTTTGTTGCAATATAAGACCTTTTCCAGTGATGAATGCATCCTATCACTCTGAACCTCATATGAGGCTTTCAACTTCACATTTGTTCATTAAGACATGATCTAGGAATACATACAAAATTTATCAACTGAGACATAAAAATTGGTCAAATCATTTGATTATAGGTTGAAGGACTAACCGAAGGTGTTACTTATTACTACAGCACTATGGATGGAAGTATCAGTTGGATAGAAATCCAATTTCTAGAGATTCAGTTTGTAGCACTATAGGTGGCAGAAAGAATTAAAGTCATCTTATTTCCTTCACTAACTTTCACTGATCCAGAGCAAAGATTTAAAAACCTGTGGGGCACCTGGGTGGTTCAGTTGGCTAAGCGTTCAACTTTGGCTCAGGTCATGATCTCATGGCTCAGGTCATGATCTCATGGTTCGTGGGTTTGAGCCCCGCGTTGGGCTCTGTGCTGACAGTTGGAGCCTGGAGCCTGTTTCAGATTCTGTATCTCCCTCTCTCTCTGACCCTCTCCTGCTCACGCTGTCTCTCTCTCAGAAATAAATAAAACATTAAAAAAAAAAAAACCTGTATAACCTTGGAAACAGAATTTGAGGCTAAATATACAACAGCTGGATTTGGATCGAGATTAAAACTTGAGTAAAAATTCTCAAGGAAATAGTTTAATAGATGAATATAAGTATCAGTTTGGAGAAAAAAAGTAACATTTTGATCTATGAGAATAACAAGATCCTTTGGAAGCTAATAAAATATTCTCAACATACTTGAAAACATTCAAATGTATTTACATCTGTCTGGTCTCAAGAGCAGCTCATCAATGTAAACATGTCCAGTAAACCAATCATCATTTTCTGAGAACAATAAATTTTCAGGAACAAGCCACTTATAAAATGGGGCTCCTGGAATTGACCTAGGTCTCCTATCAGGTCACTGTGGATAAACACCTGGCGTTACTACTTAAAACGTACTAAACAGGTTGTTTGAACTCACTGGTCAAGATAGGTCAATTTAAGTAGAATTATCTGGAGTAATGGCTCTTAGCCTTGGCTGCATTTTAGAATTACCTAGGGTGCTTTTAAACATCCAGGTGAGCTGGCCACCTGCAAGATTAATTAAATCAGAATCTCTGGAGCTGGAACCCAAGTATCAGTCCCCAGGAGATGCCTACGTACAGTCAAAGCTGAAAGATAGCCTAAATCAGGGGCACCTGGGTGGCTTAGTTGGTTGGGTGTCCGATTTCAGCTCAGGTCATGATTTCACAGTCTGTGAGTTCAAGCCCCACATTGCATGGAGCCTGCTTCAGATTCTGTGTCTCAACTCTCTCAAAAAGTTTTTTAAATAAAAAAAGCCTAAATCAAAATACTAAAATGGGAAATTCCTTACTAATGATTTATCTCTTATACCTTACCTTCTGATATTTGAAAACCAAAAAAGTTATGTCAAATGAGGACAATAATTTCAAATATTCTACTGTTGATAATTGCGGGTTCAAGAATCCAGTTACCATAGCCAATGACCTTTTAGCATAATATGTCACCTATAAGAATACGGAATATAAATGCCTTGCTAGTTAGTACTTACCAAAGAAGGTAGGAAGTAAATACTAGGAAAATCATGATAAGAAAACCGCCACCTGAAACACCATAAACCCAGATTTTTACTCGGCCATCTGTGTAAAATAGAGATTAAATAATAAGTTTAGCATACAAAAGAGTTCTCAGACTGTTTTAGTTTTGTATGTTTATAGTGTCTTATGCATGTACCACTGAAGTATAATAATACATTTAGACAACATAAATAGAACCAAAAAATTAAGAGGCAATCCTACATGCAAAGAAACTTACTATCACTACTTTTGGTGACTTTGCTGCTTGAATGGCCAAAAACTACATGCCCAAATAAGCTAATAATAAATTCACCAAATTATGTCAAGTTATAACCATATATGTGAAAGTACACCTTATTTTAATGTCCTATCTGCTAGAATTAAGAAAAATAGAACCCACTAGTTTGATCTGTTTTGTGATTTTTACTATGTCATGTATAACATGAGCATATATGTTTTTCTAGTTTCTGCTTAATGTCAGCACGGCTAACTGGGCGGAGAGCAATGCCTCAGCACCCACAAGGAATTGCATTCCTTTCTGAAAGATAGATGCACACAGAAGATTCATTGTACTACATGGATGTAATTAACTGCAGGTTCAAAAAACTTATTGGCATCTTAGGCTTCTGTGGGATGAACAACTATCAAAATCTATTGAAACAATTGGAATAAAATTTTGAATAAAATCATAATTACATTCAATTATATTATCACTACCCATTACAGTTTTTGCTTATAATACACTTTAAAGCCTCAGTCAGGTTTTTAGAATGAGGTTTCAATGCAGTAATGATACTTTTCTATGGTCATAAAACTTTTAATAAAGCTTTGAGTTGGATCTCTTTGAAACACTAATGATGAAATCTCCTATTCTGAATTTTTTTACATTGGAAGAAAAAAGTCTTCCTTGATAAAGGACCTTTCATCTTTTTACTCCTAAACCTCACAGAACTGAAGTATTGGGAGGGTCCAGTACTTTTCAATCCCCAGTGTGGAGGTGTGTGGTCCATGTTACTTAAAAAAGAATATAACTTTTTATAATAACATAATGGATAGGATCAAACTTCAAAGATATGTAGTGAAACATAAGAAGTCTCCCTGATGCTCTCTCTCAATTCCCAACCCAGCGGCTACCACTGTTACCTGTTTCCTTGTGAATCATTTTAGTTTCCTTTGTATATGCAAACATATGAGTGCATGCATGCAGTTTTCCATACTAAATCTTACAGGCAGGTCTGATTCTTTTTAATATGAGACGTATTGTATAATTGCAGTATATTTTGTTTTTCCATATTCTGCTTATAGACATTTAGGTTATTTCCACTCATCTTTTATAAGATTTTTAACATTTATTTATTATTTTTGAGAGAGAGAGAGAGAATCTGAGGCAGGCTCCAGGCTCTGAGCTATCAGCACAAAGCCTGATGTGGGGCTTGAACCCACAAACTCTGAGACTGTGACCTGAGCCAAAGTTGGCCGCTTAACAAACTGGGCCACCCAGGTGCCCCTGCACTCATCTTTTATATAACAAGCAGCTGTAACAAATATCATTTAGTATATATATATATATATATATATATATATATACATATACATATATAGCTGTATGATGGGGTCCTAGGAAAGGAATCTTAGGTCAAACTGTATGATACATATTGCCTAAATGACTTTCTTAAGGTTGCTCCAATTTATACTATCAAGAGAAAAACATAGATATACCACATGCAGGTGCATGCTATTACTGCTATTTTAATTAGCTCCCAAAGTCTAAGAACCCCACTTGTGGATTTGAGCATTCATGTTTCTAGAATTCTCTTCTAGAAACCCTAATTCTCTTCTAGTCACCCTAATTTTCTTCCTGAAGTAGAGTGTACAGGCAATGGGTGAGCCTGACTGCATTTTATATCCTGCTTCCTTCAAATGTAAAGGTACTGCTAATTTAGTCACAGAACGAAACGTTTTTAAAATTTATGGCATGCCCAGACATACAGGGGAATAAAAATGATTACTGTGGTCATCCTGAATAGTTGGTTGAAGAGTGTACATCTGATTTCTCCTACTAGATCTAGTTTCTGGGTTTTGTTTCACTTAAGCACATCATTGAGGCACTTTCAATACGCAGGTGCATTCTGAACCATGAGGTCAAGGTCTGTCTGTGAAATTAAGGCTAATATGCCACTAGTGTCTCTCAAACCAGATAGGGTCCCTAGACATTTCCTAAGGTATCTACATGTTCTTGATCTATGACAGTTTTTGCTTTTAATTTCAATTATATACACAAAACCACAGTTACAAAGGCATTCTCTTTTACAGAGATAACTTATAATTAAAAGATGATTTTAAATGTTAATATTTTGAGAACTTCATTCAGTATGTCTTACACTGGGGCTGAAACAGACTTATCTTCAACCATCCATGAGAACATTTTACATTTAAAGGGACTACGTCTTATATGGTACTAAGGGATTTAAGAAACCTTGAATTCAACCACATCACCTCTTCCGTCTCTCCTCCTTCCCTCCATTCTTTCTGTCATAAGCAGTGGTTACAACATGAAGCCCAACCCCCCCCCCCCATGAGAAAAATGTATATTTCTTACTCTTAACTGAAATGTACCTGGATCAAGGGGTTGAAGTGACCATCCTTTAAAAATATCATGTATTTTTGAATTCACAGGTCTGTTTTTCCCGGCAAGGTTTTTCACATCAGCTTTTTTATCCTCTGAGCCCGGGACTTTCATGCAGTAATCCAAGAAACCATTTGATCTCATTATCTCTGTATATCCCTTTTCACAGCCACAGACGCCACCCTACAGCATACAAAATAGTTTTATTCATCACACAGTGATGAAGAAGAACAATTTAAATGTTGAAATCACTTAATACATGCATGATCTGTTATGGCAGTTTGGGGTGTTGCAGCAACAGAGTTGCCAAAGAAAAGCCAAACAAACGGTTCATCTTTCTGAATTCCAAAGTCAGCCTTTGAATACAGTATCTGATTTTTCTACAGGCTTACAATTCTTATACCTTCCATATAAGAAATCACAACAGAGGGCATCCATTCCTTCCTTTTTCTCTTTTACAGAAATATTTAAGGCACTTAATCAAATTATCCTCCAACTCTTCCCCCAACTCTTTCAGATTCCTGCCCACTCACTCAAACCTGCTGCCCTTGACGCTGAGAAGTAAAGCAACACGGATTATGTATGGGGCGCCTTTGGATTTTGTGCTTTTTGATGTCTGTTGCCGCAGCAGCTGCTGAATGCCACTTACCACCTTGTACCCTTGATCACTAACTAGTCTGAACTACCTCTCTGCTTGGAAGCTTGGTTCTGCACGCAAGGAGGGCAGCCTAAGTGTAGAAAAAAATAAAAATAAAGACTTCACCAAAGGCATACGTCCCATATCCTTCCTTGTAGTAACCTGAGTGTCACACTACATCACTACATGCCAATCCTAGTTGGCATTGTGGTAATGTGTTCTTCATATTTGTCTGTGAATTCCTGGTCACGTTCATGTACAATAAGCCTCTCCAAGATGAGTTGGCTGTGATGAGTCATAAAGAACAAGGATTTCTTTCTGTCTCTTGAGGTGAAACTGAAAATAATAGCTCTTCCTTCTTCCAGCAAATATAAAGACAATAGAGAAGAATAGGACAAGTTGAGGATACAGTTATGAATCTGTGACTTTGCTGCTGGGGCTCCTCACCTGAAACTGTTTTTGTGCCATTTTTTAATAGGCCCCTCAAATAGCCACTCAGGTCTGGGTGACTCATAAGGATGGATCTATTTGAGTCATCAATTGTTAACTGAACACATGATTTTAAGAAGAATATACACTCCAACTAAAGAGGGCACCTCAATCTTCTACAAAAGACAAAGATCAGAAAAGTACGTAGAATTAATCATTGCCCATTGTTTAGTGAACAGGCAGCATTCCTATAATAATGACAATTATTACAGCATTTCATTTGAAGATGTTACATGGTGTTCAATGCAAAGAACTAGTTACGACAATTGAGACCATCTCGATTAATCTAAGTAAAAAGGGTAACCAATCACATATGCCAAAGATTCAAGGTAAAAGTGTTTTTATTAAAGAGGGTATCCCGATGGTTAGTGGAAAGCCACAACTTCTATTTTGCAAATCTCGTTAGCATATGAAGTTGTTGCTGACCTATTTTCTCCTCTGTTAGCTTAAGTATTTGCTTTTCTGTGGTAAAGAATTAACCTACCTCAAAAGTAAGAGAGTCATAAAATAGGATTGAGTGCCTGAATTATTTTTAACCAGATCATTTTTGGGAAAGAACACATAATAATAAAACTGTTTCTCACTGCACACTGTGAGTGCCATTGATTAGAATACATTGCACATTTTGCATTAATTCCTGAGCAGGAGTAAATGGGAGTTAAGGGAGAAGAACAGAGGGAAAGATCTCCGCTTTTAAAAAACATGTGTGGGTGTACATACATTCTTTTTACCCATAGGCAAATATTCAACTTTTACTAAGTAATTAGCAAATATAGACATTTATAATATCTTTCAAAATAGTTTGGCTAGATGAAAGGCTAAGAATGAAAGAATAAATCCACTAAGAACATTTGTTGATAAGCAGAGCTGATATAAATGAGATATCTGAAAGGTAGATTTGCCTATAGACAGAGTTCTAGAAAAAGACTGCTTTCCGTAAGACACAGCCCTACAAAGAAAAATCCTTAATACCTGCATTTATTCCCACAAACTCCTCTAGATGGTACCGTGAGCCCATGGAACTGCTGCTGGGGCTGGCGCCCACGGAAAACACCCAACAGCATATGAATAAGACAGTAATGAACTGCAGATGGCTCCCGCACTGGACTCACCTGTGTACAGTAGGAGAAAGGTTTCCTGCAGGCGGGATTACACTGCCTAATGGCAGCGGGACGTGTCTGAGGGGAGCAGCCGCCTACAAAAAAACAGAACCCCCACCATCACTTGTGGACTTTGCTATGGTAAACAGTAAAATATTTTTTTTCCTCTTTCCTCTCTGGCACTGGCCAGACTATAACAGTATTATTTTTTATGCCCATTTGCTGACATATGGTCCAGCTGTATATTATAGATTACTCCAGGAAGAATTGTTCAAGAGAGGAGGCTCTGCTAACAAGATGTTTGCAGTAGTTTTTATACCTGCTCATTGGCATTGTCATTCTATCATATGGCTCTGCTTGAGGGCAACATCTGTGTGCAGGGATCAGGAAAAGAATTGATGAAATTTCAGTGTAAGTTCAGGAGCAGAAAATAGATCTGCTCAAAGACTCATTCTATGTATATTTTTCTCCCGCTCCTGAATACCCCAACTAGGCAATAAGCCAACTAACTGGCAACAACCAAATGCTAAAAGAATGCCACTGATGGATTCATGGACCACAATGGCAAACACTTTGGTAACAGTTTTAAATGTATCTCAACCAGAAAATACACACACACACACACACACACAGTCATAAAAGTGGAGCTTTACACATTTTTAAAAGCAAATGTAAAGCTCCAGGAGACAGAGTCATACATCTGACACAGTACTTGCAGGTGCTCATTAAGTATTTTTGAGTAAACAGATGGAATAATGTCCCTATAATATGAAAATCATTTACATATTAGTCATGCCTTTCTGGATTCAAGGTACTAAGCTAACAACTTGATGTATTATTTGAGGGCAGTGTTTAAATTTTATTTATATAATACTGGTTTCATTTAGAGATTCTAGTTTTTGCCTTACTAAAATTGTCACCCAATTATAGTTTATGAATGGGTAGCTGGCCAAAAGCTTTTGGCCTTAGGTGGTGTAGGAAACAGATCTGTATTTTCCCTGGGCATGAAGCAGCTACATTCCCACTGTTACTGGAAGAATAAAATAATCTCCACAGGAAAACTAAAAACAAACAAAACAAAAAAAATTTCTATAATCCAGAATTAGTACCTATGGGTGAAATGGATAATCCGGGCGTTAGTGGCAATGACCACATGAACCTATAGCTACTAATAGTTGTTGGAGGAGTGTTTACACTCTTTAAACCAGTGATCTGCAGAGAGTAGTGTCTGCACCCCAGAAGTAGTGAATCTCTAGGGAATTGGGAAGAAAATTCAAAACTGTATAGTTCATACAATATTTAGTTTAAATTTTAAAAATATTAAGCTCTCATACTTAACAGCTGATCCTCATAACCTGAGCTGCCCCCACAGGAGGATGGCCCCATGTTGTCCACCGTACACCAAGTACTAGGTACAGAGAATTTGATAGTGTAACCCTCACCGCTTAGCTCTCAGCATGTTGTAGATGTTGCTGCTTTCTGTGTTCCTGGTTAGGAAGATTTACAGCGTGTTTAGTTCCAACGATAACTTACAGTATGGGCAAGGAGCTTAAAATTATTGTATGGATAAACAATGGATTAAAGGGCATATGCAATGCAAAAATAGGCAAACAAGAAAAAGGCAGAGCTGATGATTCCTCAATTCCACTTGTCTCACTGATTCAATAAGCTCTGTCAGCCACAGTAGCACTAAAAACAGTAACAATTCTCTCTGATAAGCCATTAAAAAACTTTAAAATTGAGATCATTTATATAATCAAATGATATCTACTGTTATGAATGAGGAAGCCTTTGCTCAGTCTAGACATTAAACAATAATGACTAGCAAAATATCCAAAACCAAGTTTCCAGTGCATGATACAAAGAAATATAACTTTGAGCAAAAAAAAAACAAGTGTTTTTGCACCATTAACAAATATATTTTATCTTTATCCACCTTTAAATTTCAACTTTTGTATGTGTTTCCTAAAATCTTAGAATAAGAGTGCAGGATAGGATATGTTGAGACATGTCCTCCAAAACCTTTTACTAAGAAGGTACATGATTTAAAACTTATAGAGACCATTGTTTTAAACTATCTGTATTTTTCAGCCTTTGTCTCAGAACATGATATTTAAGGAAATTTTATAGTGTACGTTGTCATAGATGTTATGGGTCTTCAAATAGAATCGTTTGCTTTCTAAGATGCAAGGTTTTATTACTCAGCCATAAGAATGAGGTCTTCCCATTTGCAACAACATGGACAGACCCGGAGGGTATTATGCTAAGTGAAATAAGCCAGACAGGAAAAGACATATACCCTATGATTTCACTTTGTGTAAAATCTAAAAAACAAATGAACAAACAACAACAAAAAAGAAAGAACCAGGCTTAAAAATACGTAGAACAAACTGGTGGTTGCCAAAGGTCAAGGAGGGGGGCAGTGTTGGGTGAAATGGGTGAAGAGGATTAAGAAGTACAAATTTCTAGTTATAAAATAAGTCACGGGGAAGAAAAATGATGCATAGGGAATATAGTCAATAATATCATAATACACTTATCATGGTGGGCATTTTGTAATGTGCAAAATTGTTGGGTCATTATGTCATATATCCAAAATTAATTTAACATTATATGCCAAATATATATACCTCAAGTAAAAATTTAAAACAAAAAAAGATATAATGACACTTTGCTATGAAGATCATCTAAGGTCACCTGCCCAGTCTTCTCTTGCTTATAATTTGTAAGCTAATTCTTCTCACAAACACCAACACTCAGATCTTTTTGAAGTGCCCACACAAATCTTAGGCAGGAATACCTGTGACATTAATGCCATCTGAACGTTGGCACCATACAGTTCGTTCATTATTGTTCCAAAGACTTGCTTTCCATGTGTAGTGATAACATTTGCCTCCTGCAAGTAAATATGATAACAGCGGTTCTATTACACCTCACACACAAAGAGAATAAGCGTTGCTCAATCAAGGCTGAGAACTGAAAAGTGCTCTTGGTACCTGTACAAGGGCGTGTTTCTAGAACCTGCTGGGGGCAGCTGTCTTGGTTCTCGAAAGACTGAACTATAAATGTCCTTGACCTAGATTGGCGGCCCATTGTCTCGAAGCTTCTTCCATTGACACAGGTTAATTCACACGTGCTCCACTCTGACCAATCTGTTAAGTGGCAGTCTCCTGGATGATTGTGCAGCACAGAGCAAGGAAAATAACATGAAAACTGACACTTGAAAACATGGACAGGGTTCACAGTGAGATTTGTGGTGATGGCACTGTGATAGAGGCAGGTTCTAGGTACTGCACATTCTACCTTGACCAATTTTCCACTTGGAATATACTGAGAATAACAATTTATGGTTTAATCTAGTTTAGCAAGAAAGTACTGAAAACTAGATTACTATGATTTGAAATGTAGTAATGGCAGTTTTATGTAGATAACACTATATGTCTTCCAGTGGCAATAAACTTTTTAAAAGGGAGATGTAAGGATGATAGTAACTCAGTTTTCAAAGAACAGCAGTAACATTGTAAAACAGACAGGCATAGAAACCATATAAAGGGAACAAGTTGGTCTCTGAAGTGGAGTATTTTTGAGTTTAAGGAATATTTATTAATTTAAACATATACATTTGTATGCATATATATGTACCTATGTATGTATTTACACTTATGGATATATTCAGACACCGTAAACTTAGACCATACAAGTTAGGTTGGTTATTAGGATTAAAATCAACTCACACATATTATGTAACTAACAACGACCTTCACATTTATAGAATGCTTTTATGAACCTATAGCGTTACTTGCTCCTACCACACCACCGCTCAAGTGTTCATCAAAGATCTAGTCAACATTGTTTGAGTACTGGCCAGTGCTGTCAGGTTGGGCATTATTAACACATTTTTTAGATGGTGCAAATTTCAGTTCAAGGCACTAGACTCTATGTCTCTGGTAAACACCAATGATGTGACACAGATTCTTAGTTCTTAAATTTCTAAGTCCAGTGCCTCCAACCTACTCTGCCTCCACTGAAGCTGTAGGGATATTATAAAGTGATAACTTTATTGCATTTTTAATTGTAGTTAAAAATAGTATGAAATTTCAATTTTAAGGAGAGCTTCTCCAGAAAAATGAAAAGAAAAAAAAAAAAAAATCACCAGGGAAGTCCCTTCCAGTCACTTAAAATTGCATACCTGGGCAAGGTACAGAGCATGGCTGTTTCAGGAGGCTGTCTTGAAAGGGCATTTCTCCACACAGTGCCTCATCTACACTTACAGCTGGGTGAGAGATTGAACCGTTGTGGACCACACAGGACAAGCTGCGGATCTGGACTCCTTCCCCACAGTCTCCACCCTAAGAAAGGAAAGGATACAGTTAAAATTACCCAAACAATTAGTATCTCACAGATTTTGTTGTTATTGTCGTTGTTTTGTTTGTTTTTTGATTTTTTGTTTTTAGCTTCTGCCACCTCTTGCCCAAGAAAATCTGAAGCTTCCTCCTCCTAGGAGTTATCTTTCAATTGTTGACAAGAAAGTATCACTTGGCAATCCTTCTAGAGCTGATAGAGAAGCTGAAGTAGAAATGCAAATTTATTCCATGGAATGTATGTACTCAGAATATGACGATTCATTTTGGAACTCAGCCAGGATTGACTGAAAAAGAAAAAAACCATACAAAATTTGTCTAGGTGTATGTATTAAAATAGCCTAATCCATAATCACTCCCCAAGAGAGCATGTACAGCCACAGGGCATATATTTCTCTTTTACTTTGCTGTTTTTTCTTTTGTAGGGAATTCAGTACTTTCTTATATGGATTAGGTTGGAGTTCTCAATAAAACACTGATTTTCTCTCTTGCCACAAGAAGTTGTTTTCCCAGCATGCCTTCTGTGTTGAATAATGTTCTTTGAAGACATTTAATACAAATCACACTCAGATTTTTTGGACAATTAGAAAGAAAACTGTGCAATGTTTCACAGAAACAGAAGCTTAGAATTGGAAAGCTCTTCATGGTTATTTGACCTAAACATCTGCCTGATGAAAGGTTTCCTACTATAACATTTTTGGCAGATACTCATGAGCATTTTCTCCTCAGTTTCTGTCAGGTGCTCATACTTCAAATAGAAGTCCACTGGATATTTGGATAACTCTAGATAGTAGCTCTGTTTTTCCATAAATAGTTTAGAAAATAAAGCCTAAGGCAAAGCTTCTATGTTAAGGAGGTGAGATCCCAGGATGGCAGAGTGAGGATAAAGAACTAGAGCAGGAATGGAGGGAGAGCAAATATAAGGTGGTATGTTACCAAGCTGGCCTCAACTTCACAAGTAAACACAGCTGGTTTCTCGGCCACCATGCCTTCCAGAGAGGCCATGTGGTAACATGGCTCAGTACCATCCTAGATGGGGGAGGGAAGCAATCCCAGGCAGTATTAACTCCCCTAGACTTCCAAGGTGTGTTGCTCAATTTCTACAAAGTGCAGAAGTCAGTGGAAGAGCTGGAATTTTCATGACTCGTGCTCATATGATGGGAGAGGTGGAGGGAGAAGACGCTAGAGAGAGATCCCACCTTTGCACCTCTGTTACTACAGTCAGGGATACCACATGCTATAATCCACTAACCCATTATTAGGTGACAGTGTGAGAACTGTGCTCTGCACTGGAAAACTGGGTTTCATGTTCTTTTTATGCCTTGCCCCCTGCAGGAGCCAGAAACAGCCTTTCTTAGGCTTTGGAGTTGCTGTGGCCTTTTGTGGCAGGAGCACAGGAAGATGGGGTGTTTAGCTAAAGTAGTCATGACAGCGTGCCAGGGCATGCAGCGGGGCTGGGGGCTGGCAGGCCCCGATCAGGTCAAGGCGCTGTGGCAGCAACTGCTGAGTGCCAAGGGCAGGTCGTGGACAGACTGCTGGAGGTACACAACGTTACAGAATGACTGCTGAGAAGAATTCTTGACATAACAAGAAGTTAGAATTTGAAGACATACTTTCAAGAAAGAAAAGGTGGAACTTAAGGGAGGTCCAAGTGGTAGCCATTTAAAGCTTAAAAACCTGAATAGGCATATAAATTGATTAAAAAAAAAAAAAAAGTATCACCTTTGCTTCTAGAGAGGTTTTCACAAGGTTTTTCATTTGTTTATCTAAGATGGAAACTCCCACACCTGATTTATCAATACTTCATAATTGCTCTAATAATTTCTATGGCATTTGTGAAACTCAAAAAAATGAACACTAATTTTGTTCTGAGTGCGTTTTTTGAGAGATGAGCAAGGTTCAAAGTCAAGACACAGTAGATTCCTTTAAGAAAATGCTCTAATAAGTGTTTACTCTCTAAAGTGGAAAATAACTAGTAGAAGTTGAGTTTCTCTTTTGAGGGTTCTCTCTTATAAGTATCATTCCACATGATGGATCCATTGCAGAATTGTCTAAGCTGTATGTTTTCTACAGAGTACTTGGAAAGAGGAGTGTGAAGACTCAGCAGTACATGAAATTTGCCTTCTGAAACCTCAGGTAACAGAAGATGAAGTTGATTAGAGTTTTGTTTGACATTCCAGGAGATGGGAGTGTGAAGAAATGACAGGAAACAAGTCTACATCAGGGATTCCTTTAAAAACCAAGACAAACAAGAATATGTTCCTAGTATGTACCCACATTCAACCTTAATCTCTTATATCTTTGACAACAGCGGCTGTAAGATGAAGAGAAATCAGCATCAGAATGATAATTTCATTCATAAAGCAAGCATTCACTCACTCTCATTCATAAAGTTTTCCACACTAGAGACTGAAAATAGACCCAGGCTTCTTTGAGCAAGAATGTCAACAAGTTAGGATTCTCTCACTGACTCTCCACTGTCCGCATCACTGATGGATGTTTTGTATACTCTCCAGATGTATAGAGGCAGATGGTGATAATAATCATAATCATAGTCTTAATCAAAGTTATAATAGCAACTACAATTTATTGAGCTCTTAATTTATGTCAGGTACCAAGGTAAGCACTGTATATACACTGTCTAATCCCTACCAAAAGCTCCCAGAAAAAACAGGTACTATTTCTACTTCCGACAGAGGTAGGAAAATAGACTCGGAGAGTTTACGGATTTGGCAGAAATGGCACAGCTAGGAACTGGCAGAACGCTGGCCAACATTAAGCTTGTTAGACTCTGGGAGTCTGAGCCTGTAAAACAGATTCATGAACATATGTGTGGATACATGTTATCAACTGAGGAATTTGGATAGAAAGAGCTAGAAAACACTAAAAAAAGAAAGGAAAAGAAAAGAAAAGAAAAGTGAAGCTTGAGGATAAACACTTCCTTTTGCTAATCTCTTTCTATGTTAGTGGTATTTTGGCACACCCACTGTGCCCTGTGCTAGCTTCTCTGATGGTTTGATCCATTGGATGGCAGTCAGCCACTTGGACATCACCACCACCCTCACTAAACGAGTGCCCAACCTGTATTTGGCAGGCAAAGACAGCCAGGAAAAGGAGAAATGCAGCTATGAGAAATGTGATCGTCCTTTGTGTGCAGAGGCCCACACGTATTTGAGTCGGTAATTCCAAACCCTGTTTCCATATACGTTTAAGAAAAGGCAAGCCGAAAAAGATATTGGGTTATCTGTCTCACAAAGGGCTCACAGTTAGGCTTCAGAAAAAGCAAAAATGCAGCTTGAACTCCGGCAAAATTCAACTCCTATCATCATGATTCCCTTTCTTTTTGGCCTCCTCTTTTTGTGTGGGACCTTCTTTGTTCGTTTTTGCTTCAGAGTTATTTATTTTATCTACAGGGCAGGAAAATGCGGCAGGTAAGAGTACTTGGATACACAGTCTTTGAACAGCTCTAATCCTATTCCAAATTCTTAGGGAAGAAAGCCGACTGGCCCTGTTCCGGTAAGGTGCCCGCCCCAGAGCAACTCACTACCTAGACTTGTTTTTTGAGAATTTTGTCTGGATTAAGTTGAACTGCAGCATTTCCTTTTGACTGGAAGTGTGTCAAGGAGCAAGAATAACCTCATCTAGAAACCAGAAGCGGCTCTGAAATTTCTGGATACACCTGCTGCTAGCAGCTCCAGGACCTCCAAGCCTGGGTATCTCCAGTGGAGATCACAATCCCCAAGGCTCACTGGCAGTTCTACAGACAGTGTTCACAACCCACCACTCTTGCCCCTCTGGTTCTGGCATGAGCTCAGTAAGTGAGAGCAAACTGGAACACTACATTAGTCATGGCCCCAAATATCCCCATGGGCCAAGTAGGCAGAATTGTGTATTTAAAAGAGGCTCCTTACACCTGAGAAGATGAAAAGGGAAGGTAGAAGAGTGAAGGTAGAGTAGTAGTTGTATGCCTGGCGAGACTTGGAGCGTGGGCTCTCTCAGTCCTCCCCCTGCTAACTTTTCTCTCTTCCCCTTCAGTGGGTTCCTGAGTTCTTTGAGTTTATTTTCTCTACTCTGTCAACAGTTATCACAATTACAAGAAAAACTATTCCTCCCATTTTTTATTGTGATTCCAAGCAGCATTTAAAAATTGCTTCAGATTTAGAAAAGAAGATTTTAGACTAGTAGGCAAAAGTATTCAGATTCACTAATGTTAGGTTACTATTGAATTAATGAGCATAGTTATCTTATTTTCTGTAAAAAGGAGACTGAACAAATGTACCACACAGTTTTGTTCCTCTGGGACTTATTAAAATACATGGGCATTTAACTTCTGCAAGGTAGTAATGCTACATGACAATGTCATCCTGACAGGAACACTAAACATCTCTATGAGAAGACTCTGCAGATGTCCTAATGCTTAATCATAGTTATTGTCACCTAATTAAAATGTGCTTTGGAATATGAACTGAAGGAAAAGCTAGTAAAACAAGAGAATAAAAAGAAATCAATGTGCTTTTCTTACATTAGAAACCAGAGAGAAAATGCAGTAGGAGATCTTTGCTGATCCAGCAAAAGCTCTGGGTATGTGATATATGATGATGTTGCTAGGCATTTATATTTCAGGTCAATAAAAAAGTAATCATTGAGGAAAATGTAGTAACCTTGGTTCATGTAATAATGTTAAAATATAACTTTCATACACTTTTGGTTTTCTGCCCATATGCAAGATTTTGTCTAAGCCTAAAAGTACATCTTTAAGAAATACAGTCCACAGCAAGCTGTGCATTTCCGTAGCATCAGGGTTTTGCCTAATTAAATAATGCTTTCATATTTTCAATAAGCCGGGAACATCGCATGGTATTCTTGAGAATGCCTAAGAGAGTGAAAGTCCCATGACCCTTTTAGAATCAGTGACTAATGAATGGCTCTTTTCCTAGCAACAACACTTGGCATGAGGTTTAAGTCATTTGGTTGTATTTTTGCACGAGCTCTACTGAATAAAAATACATTGTACCAAGCCCCTGGTGCTGTGAAATTTATTCCATCAGCACACAGGTTGACCAGACAGACGCTTTAGGCATACTGAGAAGATTTCTTTAAGTATCATTGCATGACCTACCTCCAATTTGCATGCAGCCCAGTTGCCAAGGACCCAGCTGTAGCAGGGCATCACTGGGCAGGTTTTCTGCTGGGTAAGCTCTGTGGGGCATGGCCGTCCTTCTCCTTGGGTTGGCATAACGATAAATCGAGTCCGGCTCATTCGACCTAAAATGATAAGGAAGGTGTTAGCTTTATGTTTATAGGCTGGCTTAGAAAGCGAATTAAAAGACAGAATGTTGCCTTCCATACATAAGTGTTCATTAAAATATACTGAACTTTGTCATGTCTGGCTCTCAGTGTTTCTGCTATTTTAATTTAGGTTTCTATGGGCATGCAGGTTCTATAAGGTCTGCATAATGTGTAAGGTTCTGGAGTTCTGTCTGCCTTCTACTTCTTTAGTCTTCCTAACTAACTCCAAACTGTATTATTGCCCAAGTAGACTGATCCTATAAACACTGGTGGAATGTTAATTAATTCAATAAATATTTATTAAGCTCCAGTGTGATCCAGGCATCCTGCTGTGTGCCAGGGATACAGTGATGAAATTGAGGTAGCTTCCACCCTTTTAGACCTCGTACTTTAGGCCAAGATTAGAAATATTAAAAATAGAATCGCATCTTTATTGTTAGGTTGTAAACTAGCAAGTAGGGCAAAAAGTGCACACGACCCAAATTACCTTAGAAAATTCCCTAGGAAGGTGCCACCCCAAGATCTCCAGAGTGTCTTTCAATTAATTCAACATGGATAATTTTCTTACAGTTTAGGGCCAAATTCTTTTTTTTTTTTTTTTTTAAGTCTCTTTTATTTATTTTTTTTAAATATTTTTATTTATTTCTAGGAGAGAGAGAGAGAGAGAGACAGCGTGAGCAGGGGAGGGTCAGAGAGAGAGGGAGTCACAGACTGAAACAGGCTCCAGGCTCTGAGCTGGCAGTCAGCACAGAGCCCTATGCGGGGCTCGAACCCACCAACCGCGAGATCATGACCTAAGCGAAAGTCGGACGCTCAACCGACTAAGCCACCCAGGCGCCCCAACCAAATTCTTTTTTTAACCGAGCCCTAGATGATGATGTTGGCTTGTGTGAAGGAGGCATGATGTTTGAAAAACATGTTCAAATATTGGTATTCCATTTTATCAACAAAGAAAATTGGTTACTGGGAACAACCAAGGAAAGAGCAGAGCTCCCATGTCATTTTATGGCCACTCATGGGTCTCAGGTCATAAGCCTGCTGAAGGCGAAGAGCGGACAGAATGTAAATGTCTGTATTTCCTGCTCTCTCCTGGACTCACTCCTGTCCTTACTCTTCTTTGTTGATGAGGTACTATGTGCGGATAGTTTCATTACTGTTATCTGTGACTATGACGTCTTTCCACTGCTGTTATAAAGTTAACTGTGTAATTGTATTTGTGATAAAAAGAAAAGCAGGGTTCTGTGAGAGCATGTTACAGGCATGCATATATATATATATGCCAGTCTGGGAAGGAATCAGAGAACATTTCCATGAACAGTTGACCTTTAAGTAGAAATCTGAAGGAGTCAGCCAGACAGGATATACACAAAGTGTCTCATGCTGAAGAAAGGGCATTTGAAGAACTCACGAGATGCAAAGGAGCAAAACATGTTTGAAGAACTGACAGAAAGTCAAAGTGGCTGGAACAGAGAGAACCAGAAGAAGAATAGGTTGAGCCAATGCTATTAAAGCTATTTAAATGGGGTCTTTTAGTCAATGCCAAAGATTCCAGATTTGTATGTTAAGAAAAAGGGAAAGCTAGGGGGTGCCTGGATGGCTCAGTCCATTGAGCATTTGACCATGACTCTTGATTTCAGTTCAGGTCCTGAGATGCATCCAGCTTGGGCTTCATGCTAAGCCTTTTAAGATTTTCTCTCTCTCTCCCTCTGCCCTCCCCCCCTACCCCCTCTCTAAAATAATAATAATTAAAAAAATGGAAACCAAGTGATGACTTTGACACAATTCACTTGAAAGCCTTTGTTGGGAATAATTCTCAGATGCCCTCAAGTTCAGGGACATGTAAATGTGACTCACCTTTCAGTGACTAGACCTCTTACTGACCACTAGCATATTATAAGTTTGTTGTCAACTTTCTTTGAGAAGACCTTTTGAAGAAAACTAGGAAGTTCTAATCACTGCATTCTCTATTCCTTGAGGTTTGGGCTTCCATCCCTAACATGGTATTTCATACTTAATTTCACATTACGTACTAACTGAATATTTGTGCAATTCATATTTTCATAAATTGTCTATGTGGTATTTGGTATCTGAAAATGTATGATGATATATCAACACAATTATTGACCAGGTACCATATACTAAGGCACTATTCTAGATACTTATATAATGAAGAATCATAACAACCCTAAAGGAAAATTCTATTATTTCCCATATTGTGGATAAAGGAAATGAGGCAGAGTTTAAGTCACATGTCTAAGATGAAAAAAACTAGTACGCTGCAGAACAAAATTCAAACCCAGAAAGTTTTGCTACAGGGGTTATTGTATTAGCCCTGAGTTGAGAGAGCAAGGAGAGCTACTTACCACTGTCTGTTATGCAAAACATAAAAGGAACTTTGGATGTCAGTAAAACTTTAGTCAACAATAACATGTGCTTACTGAATAACAGAATCTACCCATTCTTCTTGGGTGCTGAGTTGCCATGCAGACCATGCATTTTTGACATGATGTTCTACCCAGCATCACTTAAATCAAGTAATGCTAGTTAGACATCATTCATATGAAATGTTGTCTCTGCTTGGCAAATACATATGGCATTTTATATTAATTCTTGCTTAAATACTCTTCAGTTTTTATAATGGTCATTATATTTATTCTCTTGGCCTAATGCTTATTACCCTAAATGCCATTGTAATTCCATTCTATTCTATCAAATGTAAGAATAAAAAAATGCAGCATTGCCTTTATCACAGCTAAAGAGGCTCTGTTTCAGTATAACCAAATAATTTCAAGTTTGTTCTTGAATTGATGGCATGCAGATGGCCATTACTTTAGAACCGCTTCATTTATTTCTATTAAAGTGACAGATATCTTTTGCTGGACATAGAGGTGTATGTGTTGAGGAGGGGAACCTAAAGTATTCAACAGAAAAAAAATGATGCTATTACTTTTTGAAATAATGAAGTCTTAAAACCATTCATTGTAAGCACAGCCATATGATTTCTCCACCTTTTGTTATCCTAATGGAAAAATAGTATTTTTAAATATTGCCACTTACTACCAAGAACATTTTAAAATCAAGGAGCACATAATAATCCTCCATTTTGAAGTATATTGTCATGTTTAAGTAGCTAGTATTAAAGTTCAATGAGAAAAATGTTGCTAATGAAAGCATGAGTGTGCAAAAGGTTTCTGTGGGGCACTTGATATCTTTTATTCAGTTTCTTTTTTCTTTTTAAGTCAGGGATTTTGGTTGTATAAATTAAATAAGCAAAGAAAGTACCTCTCAAATTAGGCACTCTTTCACACATCTTGAAGTTGTAAATATTAAATTTAGCTACATGGTATACAGATGGTGTCAACAAAGAGACCCACCATCTCCAATGGTTAGTAGTCTAAAGTTGCCTGGATTCCAAACATCAGAATGGATGGAATGTTCAAACAAGCAATATCTCTCAACAATAACTATTCCAAAAAGAACCCCTAAAAGGAAAAGCCAAAAGAAATGGTTTTGACAATAGTGAATTTTCATGTGAAGGGGAAAAGTAAAAATGTGGCCAAGTTAAAGATGTTTAACATTACAATGTGATATAGAATATAAGAGAAAGAGAATTTTAAAATAGCTGATGTGCGGTGAAAAGAAACCTGGAGTCGGCATCAAAATTCTCTGGTTGAAAACAGGTCTCTCAAATTAACAGCTCGTAAATGATGTGACTACATGGAAGTACTTTAACTCCTCTGAGCACGAATTTCCTCTTCTGTGAAATATACAAAAAGTCCTTATTATCTGAGGATAACTCATGCTGAGGAAAATGCCACTTAAAAATGAATCTGTTTAAATGGGAATCAAATTATTTTTAATAAATAATAAATGTCTACATGGGACTTTTTCTGGAACTGAAAGGTATGGAAGTGGTTTTATTTGATCTATTATCAACTACCATGTAGATGAAAATGGCAACCATGCAATCATTATTAGGACAAATGATAAATCAGCTATTGATACTTCTTATATAATGTGATGATTATTCTATAAAAGGTGCATTGTTTCATGACTGGCTTTGCAGTTTGATCATTAGAACCTTTGAATTTCGCCTCACTTTTCACCAATTTTCTCAAGAGCTCCAGTTAAGCTTTGGTGTACAGATTGGTGCATTTTGTATTCCCTTTGTCATGGGTACATAACTCCATTTGCAGCTAGAGCCCAACCCACAAATACTCTGATGCAATGACAGAACATGAATCAGTGGAGAAAGGTCATTGATTGGGGGATAGCTTCATAAATGGTCAGTGCATTAGTGAATTTTGATATTATAAAGGGCTCTGGCTTCCTTCAGAATTCATAATTATGCTGATTCAGGTGAAAAATCCTGAGATGATGAAGATTCCTTAGAGTCATCTCATGTTGGTTATATCAATCAAAAAACACCATATATAAGCCACCTTAACAATGTATCAAAAATATAGTTGATGGCTGTTAAAACTTCTATTTTTAATCATTTATTTTAACCACTATTTTGTATCCATTCCTGGCTGCCTCTCCCTTATTCTATTCGGATTATGATATAAAGTGCATATATATAACTATGAAATTCCTAATGATTCAGCCTGGTCCCAATTCACTCAACCCCTTCCACTCTAGCTTGGATTCCTTCTGCTCTGAGAGTGAGAGTGAAAGCTGCTACCACACATATCCTGATGCTTCAGATCTGAAAATGGGATTTTCTTGGACACTGTTGGACTCCTCTTGTTTGGATTTATGTTCATCAACAAAAGTATAAGATATAGGACTTGGAATCTATTTGGAACCTTAGTTCAATAGTAATTAGACAAGATGCTTTAGGAGCAGTGCCAATGAGATGTAGAAATAGAAATGGACTACTCTTCAAACTATAAAAGAGAGAAAAGCACTCCCTTACAAAATATGTTTTCAATTTAATACAGTCAGATTACAGTAGGGTAAATTTTCTAGGAATT